TTAGGGAATTAAGAAATGAGAAATCCTTCTTAAATAATCTGTCTAGGAATTAAACACACAACCACACATAATTAGATCTGCTTACCCAACATGATTATCAGCTAGACCATGTATCGCATAGGACTGTTTGGTAGTGGAAATATTAGCTGATTTTGTTTTTTAAAAATTATGATTTCACACCAAGCAGGGCAATAAAGCCACTAGGATGCAAGAAGTTACTGAATGTTAGAAAATATGAGAAAAACTAATATTAAGAAGAGCAGGCAATAAAAGAATAATGATTGACATTGCATTTAAATATTTGAAGATCAATGATGACTGGGAAGCAAGAAGTCAGAAGAGAGTTCCACAAACAAGAAGTGTGATAAAATATTGATTGATATAAAATTTTAAACATTAGCTAATTGATAGGAGATAACCTCTAGCATATCCTTAATCTTTTTTACAACTCACTTTTAGATAGGATTTACATGCTTATGAATTTCCAACCAAACCCTTTATTTAATCAACAGAGTGTTCTCATCTCACTGTCCATGCTAAAGAATATCTTGTATCACTTAATTCTCTTTAATTAATTTTTCTTTGCAATGTCACTTGGCACTTCTACTGAACCAGAGTATATGACTTTGTATTAACCAAAGCAGGGATTACTCCATCCCATAAAAACCTGTTTGCTATAGAAACCACAGCTGCAAAATCTCACCTGCTGAGACTGTGACCTTATACCCTCCAAGGCAATCTACAAGATTAATATACAAAGTAGGGAATTAAATCATGACTGGCAGGCCATTTTATTCACTTTTGGCAATACGTACTGTATTTAATGGGAAAATCTATAACCTTAAAACTAATGTTACTTATTTGTCTCTTCAACTGAACTATAACAGCTGAAAAATGTTGATGATAACAACCAAGATGAGGATATTAGTTGAATCAAATCAGATTATCATTGGAATAGTTTCACATATGAATAATCCAAACAAAAATTATCAGAATATTTCATTGTTACACTTCTATCTATGAGAAAATAATCTTTGTATGTGCAGTAAGAAATAAAGTAGGGATTTCTTGTTGTGGTCATGGTTAATATGCGAATAAAGGTTTTAGATTTTATTGGGGACATGTAAAAGTTTTTTGTTTTTTGTTTTTTTAAACTAGAAACTGAATATGCAGTAGAAAACCTTTTTTTTCTAAAAAGAAATGGAAAATTATGAGCACATTTAATATCTGATTCTTAATCAAGTGAGTAAAAAAAATATACCAATTTTTTAAATTATTCTAAAATGATATAAATGCATATTTTGTGAAATGAGAAAAATTTTTGAAAAATGCCTAACTAACCATATCCCATTTTTCCATTATATATATATTTTTAAACAAATAAAAACATATTTTTTCCTTAAAAAGGTTACCTTTTTTTTGGCCAACATCTAATCAGAAGAATCATTAGCAAATAGTTTTTTGCTTTTTTTTTTAATCAGTGTCACCCCATATAAGGCAGTAAAGCCACTAAAACACAAGTGGTTACAGGAATTAGGAACAGAAACATTAATAATGAGTGGAAAGAAAAAAGAGTAATCAGGAGGACAGTAGATAGAAATTGACATTGCATTTAAATTTTTCTAAATTAAAGTTAGCTGGAAAGCATGGAGCTAAAAGGGAGTTCCACAAGCAAGAAGTGCATGAAATGAAGCTGTTAGCATAGAACTTATGGCTATATCTAGCCAGCTCAACTGTCAACTTAAATTCGAAAAGTCTAGGTACCACAGTGAAGAGCTTATCCGAACATTTACCATAAAAGTATTTATAAAAATAGTACAGAGAGGCTACCTTATGACTGTGGGAAATTGACTGAAGGCAAGCCGCCAGATCAGGACCAATAATAGTGCTGATTCTTCTTTAGATCTTATCAAGGTGCTCTAGGTAAATAGCAGGGACACCGGACTATATGTGGCAGCAATATTCTTAGCATAGATGAATGGCAGATTTATAGATCTATAAGATAGATTATGGAGAGAAAAATTGTCTTGCACAATGCAGTGAACTGACTTTCTTGGCAGTTGACCTAGCAATGGATTCTATATAGTCTTTTCACCTTATGTCAACTGAGAACATTAGCTCAAGAAGGTGTAACGAGTCATTTTCCTGGTGGTTAGCATCAGCCATGCTAATGGAAGGCAGAGTATAATTTAATCATTATATTTCAGAGTAAAATATAATCATTGTATTATACTATTTACCAACAATTCTTCTGATGAGGTGTTTTGGCTGAAAAAAGGTTGCCCTTTTAAGGGAAAATATGTGGTTTTATCTGTTTAAAACTATCTATAAGTTCTGTGGTATATTTAAATATATATATATATATATATATATATATATATGATATGTCCCAGAAAGGGATATATTTGAATGAAGTAGCTAAGTGGTTTCGGCTACTATAACCAAGTAGAATACGGTAGCAGTAATCAACTGGTATGTGTCATAGTCACAGGTAAGAAGTGTAGATCAATGGCGTAGTCCAATGGGCATCGTTATAGACTTAGCTCTAAGACTAAGAGTCTTTTGACTCTGTCGTACCTACACGTCCATCGGTATTTATGATGGACATCAACCAATCATATTCCAGTGAAGGAGAACCCAGGTGTACGCATATTCCATTATATCAATATATATATATATATATATATATATATATATATATAAATTAGTCCTAACTTTAAAAAAATCTTTGTATTAGAATATTGTCTATGTCATTCATATAGAGATCTGCAAAATGGTACATAATGATAATGTATGCCTTATTAAGATCATTCTGACAATTTAAAAATATGATTAAATATTATTCAAGCAATCACATTAAACACAAATATTTAATATAAAGTCAGTTAAGTTCATTTACATATCTTTTGAGAAGATGTTGTGTCGGAAACCTACTACCCCTCTTGAAGATGAACTTGTCTGCAAACAAAGACTTTAAATAGTGGCATGTCAGTTGACATGGGGGAGACAGATAGACAGAGAAGTTCTTAGCTGAGCTAGTTATTGACTACTCAGGTGATTTCTGTACCTTTTTACCAACCTATTAAAACCCTTTTTATTGTTACGTGTTATTTGGCGTTTGTCTCTACTAACCCCAAATCAACATCATAACAGAAGATATATTATGAGAACAGGAAAACATATTTTCCCCAAATATATTCATACTATGATTGCTTGAATAATATAATAAAACACAGAAACTGACATTTTAAATAGAATGTATTTTTAGCCCCTTAACAGGTTATACTGATTAAAATTATGAAAATCTTCTGAGAGATCATGTCAGAAATTTGCATCCAAAAACATTTTTCAATGTAAAAATCTGACAGTGGATATAAATTCTCTCTGTGCATTTTGAGCAATAAATGAAAATATTCATCCAAACCATTTTTGCAGCAGGAGGTTTCTGTCACTGTTATTCTGATACACTGAACAATGACATAGTAATTTCATTCATTTGTAAAATATTCAATTCATTGATGTTTGTTACCAATGAAAAACTAGTTTTAATGTAGTTGGGCATGCATCCCAGATGAGCATTAGTTTTCACACCATTCTTGAGACCAATGTACCAAAGTTGGACTGTCTCTTTCTTGCTGAAAATCAAATTAGTCATTTTTCTACTAGAAGAAAGTAGCAATTTATAGATACTAAAAAAACTGTGTGGAAAGCTATGATTGCCTACATAAGGGACATAGCTTTTTTTTTAAAGTTATGATCCTGCTTTTTCATGCATTCTATTTAGTGATGTTTGATATTCCAATACACATGATGAAATGATACCATTATACTTCTCTGGTTTCAATTTTAGATAAAGAACTCTTTGATTGTATCAGTAAAGAAACCAACAAATTTGTTCTTGTGTTATGAATTGGAAATGCATATCATGCACAGTGATAAGAGTGATTTTTGCATTGAAAAAAATCATGAAACATCTCAGTATAATCTATCAGAATGTTATTTATATTAATTTTTCATCATTAACTTCAGGAAAAGACAAAATATTTTTATCATGGCTGCATTTACATACTTGCAATAAAAATTTAGTTCCAAACTGAAAGACTTTTGAAAAAAATAAAAATCTATTTAACAGATTAAATGCAGAAGAAATATTTGGCTTTTTCTGTTCTTAAAAAAATATACTTAAATTCAATACCTGGTTAAGGCAGTAGAGAACTTGGAGAGGGGAATTAACAAGAGATAACTGATAAGTGACATCCATTAGACATGGCACGTGGAACTAGAACAGTCTACCCCAGTGAGCGAAATAGAGGGTTCAGTTCAACATTTCAACCACCTGAAGAAGGCTGGAACATACAACAGCTGAAACGTTGTAATAAATATGGCAACAAAGATGAGGACAATAGTCTGAATAATGTAAATAGTGTTAAATAATGTTTTTCTATACTTTGTTTAGTAGAAATTACTTAGCTTAGTGTGTAAATACTTTGAAATTAAAGAAATGATATTATGTCTTCTTATGCCAAAATGGAATTTCTGCCAGAGAACTTTAAAAGTTCTTATAATACCATTAGTCATACAACTGTTAAAGTTTTCCCTTTTTTAAATATAAAGTTGGTACCACAAATTATTTAAAAAATAGGTAAAGTCAATATGCTGTACTATTCCTTAATGAAGGTTTATGGACGTATCACTTTGAAACACTAGTTCTCATATGATCACTAAAGTTAAGCAATGTCAAGCCCGGTCCATAACTAGATGGTTGACCATTTGGGAATACTAAATGCTGCAAGCTTAGATGTGTGGGCAGTCTAATGTATAATGGCTTGTAATTAGAAACTGGATAGGAGAGTTCCAATTTTAGTTGGGTTCATTACATTCACTTATACACTAATACCCTTGGGAAAGGTATGAATCCACCTCTTCTCCCTCTCCAGCTATGTGCTAATTAGTAGGACTTGTATCAGTAAATCATTATTATTTCACAAAAACTCTTGGCATATGGCCATATCGCAGTGAAATACCGGTTCCCATATGATCACAGAAAATAAACAATATTGAGCCTAGTCGATACCTAGATTGATGACCACTTCGGAATACCAGGTGCTGTATACTTGGATGTGTGAGTGGTGTAAAGAATAACTACTCAGAATTAGAAATTGGGGAACAGAGTTCTAATTCCAGTCAGATTCCTTATATTCACTTACACACAAATACCCTTGGGAAAGGTATGAATCAACCTCTTCTCCTCCTGCTATGGGTCAATTAGTAAAACTTATATGAGTAAATCATTGTCATAATTTTTGGAGATAACAATCTAAACATATTTTCTGGCTTTAAATAACCTGAAAAAGGTTGATAAGCTGTAAAAATAAACAAATCAATGAATTGATCAATCATTAATGAGGAATGAAAGCAAGTAAACTTGACCAATTGCATTAGTTATATTTATCGAATGGCTAATCGAGGATTTTTATCTATAGAATTGACTCTATTGTTATACATGAGAAATAATTCTGTTCTTAAATCATTAAAAGTAAAACTATTCAAATAAAGCTAACATGACCATACTGTGAGAAATGACAACATTATTGAATTCACTTTGTAACTGCATTGCCTATATTTTGACATATAAGAAAGAATCCAGTTTTTTAAATCATTGAAATTATCAAAAGAAAGCTAATATGAAACAAAAGAAATAAATAGTTATATATTACCAACTTGTGAATACTTACTAATGAGATGTTTTGTTATTGTGTTAGTACAATGTATATTTGATTACTGGCATTGGGTAATGTCTCTTGTCATTATAACTATGGAATATCTCATTAGTAAATTGTGGGGATCAGGATGCATGACCAATAAATATATAAAGTCATATTGTGTTTTATATTATAGAATAGATAATTACTGAAAGGTATTTTCTATTTTAAAATATGTTGTTTATTGATTTTCTTATAATTTAATTCTGTTTATAATTATATTTTATGTTTTGATTTTTTTTTTTTTTTTTATTCATTAATTACAAAAAAAACACCCATCTTTATGTAGTGGACTCTTCTGGTGACACAGGAAAAAAACAATCCAGAAGTAAAATGTCACAGTGAACTTCAAATGATTTTCAGTGGTCTTATGTTGGATAATGATGACTTAGGATAATGTGATCATTGAAACTGCTATCAGTCTGTTATGGGAGCATGGATATAAAAACAATTAGCTTTGTAGTTGATTCTTGCATTTTAGTTTCAACAATTCAACAACGGAACCTGTTTTCCTTTGTTAACAGGCATTTTCAGCATACAAAAATGACATTTGTTTCTTAGGATCTTCTTGTAGAAAGTCAAGCATGATGTGAATTCCAGTTATAAGAAAAAAAAAACTGTTTTGTTTTTAACTTTCTAAAGTTAATAGAAAATATTTCTGGCTCTTAAAATGAGAGTCTAAAATATTTTTTAACAAGAATGGTATTGTAGATAATAAACGATCACTAATAACACAAAATTTCTCTTTTCCTTATTTTAAAAAATATTTTACAAAAATTCATGTTATGTTTGTTTATTTTTTTGCATTAAATACTTAAAGAAATAATACCTCAATTCCATAATAGTTGTGACTTTCACATCTTTTTTTTTTTGATCATTGGCAACTCTTATTGATAAATATTTATACCTTTGTCCCATAATAGTTATTATGTTTGAATACATTTCTTTAGATTATTGGCAATGTATTAATACATATTAATACTTATATCCTATAATGATTGTTACATTTATATATTTTCTTTTGACTATTGGAAACAGTTATTAAAGGTTATGTTTATATGTCTAAGTGACAACTTTGTGTTGTTATGTTTAAATCTGAGTTTAATAACATTTTAAAATAGCATAAGGTGTCATAAAGCGTATTTGTCAAAAGTAAGCAAAAATTAAAATTTTCAAGATTGGATCTGCCATTTTTATATATTCTATCAGATAATATCAACCATAGGTGGAAAATTAAGGACAGTTAAAGCAAATCATGAAATGTAAACTCATACTCGAAATGTTATGTTACAGTGTCAGAAAAATGGAAAATTAATAAATAAACTATAACTACTGCTACAAATGAATTGAAAATATAAATGCCACAATGCTTGCATGTAAATTAAATTTCTATCTGAATTCCTGAGTTATATTTATTGATATTATTTACATGCAACAGACTAATATCCTCACCTTTGCTGTGATTATCTAAGCATTTTTCCAATTCTGCCCCCAAGGTCTTTTCTACTCCTGATTTACAGACACCTGAAGAAGACCAGAGGGCATAATAGCTGAAACATCATATTTCCAGAGATAAAGGCATTAGTCTGAATCCAATAGACACTAATGGCTCTAATATATATATATATATATATATAGGTAACTATACGTGTCTCGAAAGACCTTCGAATTTTTGATTTTTGATTAATCAAATCAATCTCTAAGAAAAAAAAGGTTTTAAAAAAAGAAAGAGCCAGGAACATGAAAGTCTGTCGAAAAAATTGCACAGATACAGATTCAAAGCCCAAAGAAAAAACCTCGACATGAGTAAACAACTAACTAAAAGAACAAACTTACTTTCCCTGATGATCCGCTTAGGTGAAACCTGGGTAGGTTTGTCTGGCTCACTAGGTTTGACTAATATATATATATATATATATATATATATATATATATATATATATATATATAAAAACAAACACTTTCTGATCTCTGGTTGTCAGATCTGTTGAAATAATTTAATTTATTGTCTCTCTTATCATCAAGAATCCCAATGCATTTTCCTTATACAGTTTTGTCTTTCATTCTGACCTAACAATTCCAAACCCAACACATATCTCATGAAATACGCTATCTATAAGATTATCCACTTTGTTTCATCATGTCTACTTTTGTTTTGGATACTGTTATACATCCTAGTCAAAATATTAATAATAAATTGTTTAATTTTTTCTTGAAATTAATGGTTCCAAGCAATGAATTAGTAAACTATTTCATTTTCATTGACTTCATTTTTTTTTATTTAGTTTTTATTTGCAAATATAACAAACTATTCTGGGACAAATTTCATACATTTAATGTAGCAACTATTATATGAATATATAATTAAATGAAAGTTATAAAATTTTGTTCAAGTTGTTTTTTGTTTTGTTTCTTTTTTTTATTAAGGGAATAAATACTTTTATCCAAAATTTTAAAGCAGAACTAAAGCCATTTGTATATCTTGCAACTGGAATTCACTTTTCGTAGATTTGCTTAGATTCGTTTGAGCTACCCGTGAAACATACAGGATGCAACAATTGCTGAGCTGTTCTGAAAGCTTCAAAAATTGACCATTACTAACCAGATTATCGTTTCATTCCAAGACTTATCTGACTATAGAACTCATTTTTTTTGTGTTGTTTTTTATACCCCACTATTTGTCCCCCATCCATTCTACAACCTTCTTCTAAATTACAAAGGCTGTAGAATGGATCAACTGAGTCATGGCATCAACAAAAGCAATACAAAGAATGAGTTCAATAGTTCAAACATCTCTTGCATTGACAATGACTCTTCTCAAAATAATAGATATATTACCTTTTCAATCATTAAGTGTTGGACAGATTAATTATAGATAAATTTAAGTATTAGAAGCTTGTATACCCTTAGCTTGTTTGTTCTTTTCTTTGCTTAATTTGTTAACTTCTATCTGTTGTGAATCTGTTAACTAGCAATTTTGATGTGAAGATTTTGTGGTCTTGTTCTCTGCCATAATGTTCAGGTTTTTCAGTTTGCAGAATTAATTATCTTCATATTGTTTTTGTTTTTGTTTTTTTTTTTTCAATTTTTTTAAAACTTGTACATACAGCTAGTGTAAAGATACTGAAAATATTATTCTTCATTGATTCAGTATGATGACGGCTGGAAATATGATGTACTGTACACTTGTTTTGATCATTTTTTTGTAATTTTTTGTATTTTTTTTATTGTATTGATGATATTCACATCTCTGACTAGAAACAATGCAATTCATATCATTTCATTAATTGCAATAACCTAAAAAATATAATATTTGAGGAAATAGAAGCCCCTTCCCAATGCACACACTTTTTCCCAAATAATGACTAAAACAAATCTATCCATGGTTTTTAGTTTCAAGTTGTTGTATATAGTAACCTAATGTTTACTCAGATACTATACTCCTAACCTAAATCCATAATACTGTAATAATCTGGTTGATCAAAAGTAATTTCATTTCTTACTCAACTCTGTATATTTTTAATCTTATATAATGATCTACATATTGTATTTTGATGTTTCTAGCTCTTCTGAGAGTTTTCCAGTTCTACTGGTAGTTGGGTTTGCCTCTAATTTACTTTTTAAAGTATCATAATTAACAACTGATGGTCATCTGTTTCTCAGCTTTGTTTCAAGGGACATGTCACCAACATTAAAATGCTTGAACTATGTTTGAGCATTGCAGTCAGATATTGTTTCATTTCCTTCTACTAAATCATGCAAGCAATTTCAACAGTTTTGAAGTCTGGTTTTTAAAAAACTGCTTCAGAATTACCAGAATCTCAATTCTTGTATCAGCCATTATAAAATTTCAAACAGAAAGTACAGCTGTATATCATTGATGATGATAATAATAATAATAAATGTAATACTTAATAACTAAAACTTTTCTTCTTATGGTTAGAGCTTTAGGTTTGATAAAGATAGGAACTCAAGAACAAATCATCAAAATCCCAGGTGTACCCTCTCTCCATGAAATCCCCCCCAAAAGTTCTAACAAGCACAACCCATATCCTGTGAAGAACTTTGTCCATTTATATATTGTTGTTAATAGCTGATTTTGTTTAATTAAGTGGAAACAACAAAACTCACATCCTTTGCTTACCCTGGGTTATGACCTGCCATGTTATAAAACAAATCCATCTCAAAAAGAATTTTTTTAAAATAATAATAATATCATGGAGCAATATAGTTTTTCAATGAGGACATGAAATAAGCTTTAAAGTAAAAGTCGCTAAAACAAAAGTTCTTTTGATACACTCAAATATATTATAATATTAATAATATAATGAAGTCATGGATCGTCTTTAG